CAAGGAGGCCAAGAAAAGCAAGAAAGCCAAGAAGACAGCCGAAGCCACGGAGGCAGCTCATGATGACAAGGAGACAAAGGCCAAGAAGCCTGCCGCTGCACCATCGCCTAAGGCATCACCTGCTGCAACCACCGCAGCCAGTACCGCAGCCTCAAAGGAGACTTCTGATGGTGAGGATGACGCAAGTACTGATTCAGAAGAAGCCGCGAAGAAAGCACAGCAGGTGCAGGCAAAAAAAGCGGCTCATGCGAGATTCATGCGCTTCTCGCGGTCGCTGTCCAGCAGCTTGATTCAATGCCATGGGTGGGGCTATTGATGGCTATTGAACATTCTCTGCCAACGTCAAACAAATCAAATATTGTAGTTGAAAAGAAGCTACCTTTTGAAACACGGTTAGCAAGGGTTCCAGTTCCACCATGTGATGTTGGCACTGGGCACTCGTGCAATGCCGCAATGCCTGAGGCCCCCGGACACCGGTGGAGGTACAGCGCGCAGGCCGTGCGGCATTCCGGAACTCCGGAATGCTCCAGGTCTTGATCGAACAGTGGACAGCGTGTTCTGGCTGCTGGTCTCAAAGCGATTTTTACTATCAGGTAAAGCAGCGGAGGCGACATCGCCAGATGGGATCACGAAAATGGATGTGTAAAAGTGAGATAGAAGCAAAGTTCGGATCGAAAGAAGTAGCCCAGCAAATCATTGCTGCCAAGAGCAGTGATCCAGAGATTGCCCAGTCGCACATCCGTGCGAATCCGGACTTGCACGGATTGGACAGCGAAGATTCTTAGTTGAAATGATGTCAGGTTTTTAGTCTTTCAGGTTCATTGACTTCCTTTGTGTCATGGCAGACCTCTGCTTTGGTCGAGGGTAGAATCCATTCATCTCTCACTGCCACCTGTCCAGGAAACCCGACAATACCTGATATGGGATCACGACGGGGACGAAAGCGTGGTTGACAACGTCACGACAACGTTGTTTGCAGCAGCAGACAAGGATGATGGACATGACTCTCGTGGCAACTCGGCCAGAGGTAGGTCCAAAACCAGAGCAGTGAAGGACAAGAAAGGACGCAAGAAAGACGAAGACAAAGGCAAGAAGAAAAAGAAGTCATCAAGTTCCGACAGCAGTTCAAGCTCTGTCAGCTCCAAGAAGTCAAGCTCCACGCCACGCAAGGAGGCACACCAAGAGCTTTGGAATCCAAATGAGTCCAACATCAACATCTGATGTAGTGATATCTTTTGTTATCCACTTTGAACACCTTTCAATTGCACCACAACAAGTATTGGCTCAGTAGCAGCTGGTACCATGTCATTGACATATCCTTTGTGTTTGCTCACCATATGACAGGACAAGAAGCATCCGAAGAAAGGTAAGAAAGGTGGAAAGAAGGTGAAGAAAGATAAAGCCAAGAAAGGCAAAGGCAAGAAGAAGTCTTCTAGCTCATCATCATCGTCTGAACCTCGCGAAACTGAAGAGGAACGAAAGAAGCGAGAAGAGAAAGAGAGAGCTGAGGAAGAGAAAAGGAAAGCAGCTGAGAAGGAGAAGGAGAAAAAGGAAGCATTCAAGAAAGATCTACGAAAGGGGACTCAGGCTGGTTAGTTTGTTAGTTGGTTGGTGCATGTTGGTGCCCATCAATCTTGATGGTTCTTCCAGACTTCCAGGCCCAACGGTCCAATTACCCATTGTCCCAGCCGTCTCTCCTCCCAGGCGCTCTCGAAGATCTGCAGCCTGATTGCAAAAGCCACAACTCTTGATGACCGCCTTCGCAATATGTTCCTTGGCTGAGGGGTGCTTGGCGATGACTGAGTCGCTATATGTCACGTCATGTTAACCACGTTAATTTTTTTGATGTTTGGTTGTCTAGTCTCGAGCTCGCACCGAACTGGAGTCCTGGTCGACAACGATTTTGATCATATGAATTCATGACCTTCCAGCTTAGGAGATGCCCTTTAATTGGTCCAGGTCCTAAATGGGTGAACAAAAAGGAAATTACTTTTCGGGTCACCTCCTAAAGACATTCTTTTTATAGTCTTTGATTACTAGCTACATGCATTGTATAGTACGTCGTATAGTGAACAGCGTCACCACTCCGAATTTCACAAATGATTTGCCCAGGAGTGCATCTGTGAAAGGGGCCATCTTGGCGGAAGTGACGCCCCACTTGTCCAAAATGAAGAGTGCCCGCGACCGCTTGCAGAAATCCTGCGATGCCGCCAAGGCACAGCCCAATCATGACTCACCTTTGATGGTTGCAGTTGCACGGATTCAATGAACACTTTCATGCATTCAAGGGACCAGGATCTAGAACATGATACGGTGATTTGCATGCTTTATTGTAATTCGACTTTGTATCTCAACACTGACATGTTCCACCCTCATCCCACTACAGGTGGATGCACTGGGATCAGTGCTGGAGGATGCCAACAAGAGCGATGCGGCTGGGAGTGGTTTCACCCAGTGCCTTCAAGCCTACAATATCAAGTAGGCCAAGGTTGCGCTAGGAATGGCCAGAAAAATCTAGAAACTGTCCATTGCCAAGTGTAGTCTTGTGTCTACTTCATTCGCCTGTGTCTTCACCAGCTTTAAAAGCGTATACAATTTTTGCACAATCCTTCATTGACTTGGTTGGAAACCATTGGCCTACACGAGAGCGCAATTTTGGAATATTGTGGATTGGCAAGACCAGGACTTGCCTACAATCTTGGGGGTGACGCTGTGAGGTCAACATTCGTGGCTCTGATTAGACACCAGCTGCGTTAGTGTTCGACCTCGGAATGCGTCCTAACTTGGTGTCCGCCGTCGTTGACAAAAAAAGTTGCAAACAACATTTGGTTTGGAATGACAACCCTTGCACACACATATTCACCCCAGAATTCCAAGACTATACTTTTGACCGACTGAAGTAAGAACATTTCTTTGGGGTCACTGGTGAAGACCATTATGTTTTCCGTGGAAGCTCTTGAGCTGGTATTTTTGTGATCCATTCTGACGAGTGTTCCACCTGACAATTTTTTCTCTGGAAGCCTCACCCTCTGCACAGGTCTTTGTGATGCCCGTGCTCCGATCACCCTGCATGGGCACATGGATGATGTTGCATCTGGTGTTCTTTGGCAGAAATATGGTGGATTGTTGGGGAGGTTTGCAATTCAAGAGGTGCATCTTTGAGATGGAATACCTCACCATAACCCCGCCAGAACCAATCAAAATATGCCTCAAACTTTGGAGGTCATGCCAACTTGCACTGTATCCTTCGTAAGTGTGGACAATTTGGGGTGGTTCCCAGACCTGCGTTGCCAAGTCATAGTTTGTTGACAAACCTGAGTGTACATCTTTTCCGGGCTCCCAATCATTAGTTATCATTCAATCATTCGGCCTGTTCTGCAATCACCCAACCCCTAAATCTTCTGACATGACCAGGCCACTTCCGTCGGCAAAGCCATGTCTCGCATCCGAAATCAAGTTGAGGATCCTTGGGCGGCAATCACTTGTCATGGTGAGTGCATGGGGCTTCTTGAGCAAAGCTTGATATCTTTAACTACCCATGCTCAGCAATTCCAACGCATTGGCCCCAGGAATGTGGAGATGCTTGCCACCCTGATGTACTTCAACTTGGTGGACGCTCTGGGAAAAAATGATGTGAGAGATTTTTGGCGGCACGCTGACATCCCTATTGCATCCTGGCTCTAAAGGGCCTGGGTAGGTGTGGAAATTGGCAATGTTGCTGAAGCTTTAAAGACACAGGATTAGGATGACAATAGAAAACTGAAGCTAGCCATCTAACCGAATATAAACTAACCCCTAGACCAATATTGAAATCACCACGTACGTTCCAGCAGTAAAGTGTTGGTCCACAACCAGATCCCACAAGTATTCTGAATAAATATTGGATAATGGGAACCAGGATATCCTTTATAATTCACATTAGCGGGATGATCTGGGATATTGGCCTTATGATCAACGGTACTTCGAAACCATTTGTTGGGAAATCTGTGCAGTCCAAATTCAGAGCTATGATATGCAAGATTGACCCAAGGAAATCCATCAAGTCAAAGTTCCTGTAAAAGATGAGAAGACTGGTCGCATCAAGTTCCAGCAATTTCCAATCCTTCACCCGCATGAGATTCTTGCGTATTTGTGGAACGAAGTTAAGATTGAATTGCGTCAATCTGACGTGGCAGAATATTGGCGTCATGCTTGGCAAGTGCGGGAGCCCTGGGCGATAGGATGTCCGGCAACTGAAGAGCACATCCCCATCGGTTTGCACGGCGACAGTGCAAGGTTGTGGTCGCAAAACAAATTTGAAAAGGTAATGGCAGTGACTCTGAACATTTGCCTTTTCCGACCACGGTCGGTACGATTTTCAAGGTGGTGCTTGTTCAGCTGCCCACACCACCTTGTTTACAAGAATCGAACGCTCAACGCCTTTTGGAGACGTATTGCTTGGTCTTTGGAACATGCTTTTCAAGGAGTGCATCCTTTGTCTCGACCTGGGGGCAAACCCCTGCTCACAAAGCGTGAGCGAGACCATGGAGGCCAACAATTATCAAGTTCTGGTGCAAGGTGGGCGCTGACAGAGTGTCGCGGCGACTGGGAATGGCATGTCCAAGTGTTCAGGCCCAAGGCCAGCTGGCAGGCTACCAAAGTGTGTTTCCGGTGCCCCGCACAATCCAAAGACAATCATTTGTACTGGGCGCATGGGGATGACTGCACTTGGGAGTCTGCAGAATATGGACTGCAAGCATTTATCTCACAAAGGCTCAAAGAGAACAACTTGTGTGCCCTGGATTTCCCAAAACAATGAAGCTTTCTCCAGGATTTCCCTTTGGTGGAGGATATGGGGAACCGAGTGATTGCCAGAAACATTTGTTTGAAGGTTTTTATCCAAGATGGGAATGACAACTTATGGTAGTACGAATAGTGTAATGGCTACGTGACATCGGTTCAACACTGAGGCCCATTGTTGACACTCCGAATGTTTCAGCACCCCTCGCTGCTGCGATGGTGCACTATGCACACTTTGAATTTGGGCCTAGCTTTTGCCGCGAATGGTGGGAGCTTGTGTTTTGGCTGCTTTTGGAGAAAGTTCCGTTATGTGGCAATACTTCGGGCACACCACCATCCTACTAAACCACAAGTTTTGAACTTGATTGGCTGTGATACACAGTCTTGCCCTGAGGGTCCTCTTGGCTGAGATCCAATACTTCGGCCCAGGAAGTTTCAGTGACCAATTGGACGCTGCGTACCGGGATTTTCAGTCGTACTGCCGCACTCGACGTATCAGGCATAGCCAACCACCGTTTGTTGAAAAAATGGTCACTTGGATGTTCCAGTGATGGTTTTTGTCCTCCCTATTTTCCAACGCATTGGACAACTTTTATTGGAGTTATTGGAATGATTTGGATTGCTTTGTTTGCAAGCCCTGGTCTAGGTTCTTCACAGGAATTGTGCTAACCTCTAGATTGGCTTCTAGCTGAGGTAAAAAAAGAAGACAGGCGAGATCCTTCTCACTGCCAAGGCTTACAATGGCAGGCTCATAGCAATGTGGCTCAACCACTGCTTGCTAGATGTTGTGCAGAACAACCAGGACAATCAACTTCTAGTGCTCACCAGTGTTGCGATGATACTTGGTTAACCATTTCTGATTTGTGGACCGTATACCTGGGATCAACCATGTAGCATCGTGTGCATACAGAGAGATTGACCGCTTACTAGTATTACTAGTTACTAGTTTGGAATCCCTGGTAACATCCGTTGGTTTCCAACTTCCAGCCCAGTGCAGCAGTCGTGCCAAGGAGCAATCTTTCGAAGTTCTTCACGATCATGGAGAGCAACGGCCGCTTTTTGAAGCATGGCAGCTTTAAAGTTGGTTGGGCGGATCAAATTACATCAAATTATATACCCTGGGATTCCTAAATGCTGATATATGGAAAGCATGTGTGAAGGGTATATACCTTGGGTTTGGAAGTCCATACATATGGAATGAACTGATCAGGGATGCCTCTCTGCAACACCACTTTTGGCCTCAGGACCAGTCATGTTGCAGATTCACTTCACAATGCTGGCATCCGGTTTGTGGAAATGTATACGGCGCTGTGCGTTGAACACATCAGGCTAGCTGCTAGCTCAACCTTTTCGTCAACCTGTCATCTATCTTTTTCTCTTCCTTTGGTTCTTTGTGCATGCACCCCTTGCTTGGCGCAGACTTGGCCTATCCCGGTGGCTCATGAAACCAAAAATCCATGCAGCTTGTCTGATGAACAGAAAACGTGCATTACAAAGTTTGAATGCATGCACCTTTCCGCTTTGAATTTGTTGATGGGGCTTCCTGTAAGGTGCTGATCCATATTTGCAAGGATGTGAAAAAGTACAGTATCTTGGATATTGTAAGTTGGTGTCTTCCTACACTGTGAGGTGTCAAACTTGACTTTGCAAGATGATGTGATGAGTGCGAAATGTGCCTGGTGCTGTCTTGTAGCCTTTTAGCTAAGGATCCAACCCAAGGTTCCATCACACATATTGTGATGAAGATTCGATGCGATGGGTCAAGGGTGCCTTGCAATAACTGATTGTTGTGGTTTGTTTGGGGCATGCTGTGATGGCAGCAATTCTCCTAAGAGGGAACCTGGGCTTGCCTTTGGGTCCAAGGCATCATGGCCCGGGCCCACACAAGAACACGACACTATTGGCTCCTCAAATGTACCAAATTGAGGCCCTGCATTGCACTGTGCTCTATGCGGCTTTTTGTTGAAATCACTTGACACAAAGAACGCACAACAATCGCAGGCTGCGCGCTATGAAGCATTGTCTCTCCCGAAGGCGGAATCTTGGAATGATTTGGAGAGATGATGCTTCAAAAACGAGTTTAACCTTGCAAACATGAGTTGGTTAATCAATCCATTGATGTCAATCTTTGGATAAGGACGCGAACGGAGAGGTGAACTTCGCTTGGATGGTTTGGAGCAGACCAAAAAAAGATCGAGGGCGAACAAGCGTGAATCATCGTGAATCCCGAAAGTACGTTTGGTAATAACGTGAAACCCTCTTTTGCCAAAGGTATGTTGTTTTAATATACTTTGGAACCCTAGGGTATATATATATATATATTATATATCATACACCTTTTTGCGGGATTGGGGCTTTCCACTCAGCTCTTTGTGGATTCTTCTTTGTCAGGCGCAGCCGCCAGTGCTGTCTCGAGGGCCAAGTCCCGTCGCGCCAGAGGAGACTGCAGAGGCAGCCTATTGAAGATTCCCTTTCATTCGTTTCATGTCATCCTGAAGCGCCAGATGTTGCAACACGTTCGGAATCTTAGACTGTGCAGATAGACATTTGCACAGAGAGAGAGGGGAGAGTTTGGCCGGTTTCGACCATTGGCGTTGTCAACCAATATTTGATAATATTAGCCAGAATGCCCCTCCATCAAGGTCAGAACCTGAGGATGTCCGCTTCCCAAGGCTGGTTTCTTTACACATAGGGTGAGGCAAACCTGCACCGCTCGACTTGAAAGTGCCACCCACACTGTTGGAGCCACTCAGCAGGTGAAGAAGATGCCGGAGGAGGTCTTCGGCCAAGAGGACTTGTTTCGCTCCGGTTGAGGTGGCTACCGGCTTGGGCCGGTTGAGGGCCCCGTTTTGAACGGTTGAAAAGCTTTCGATGATGTAAGTGACGATCTTTCCCATACACTCCATGTATGGCATATACATTGACCCCCCAAACCACCCCAATGTAGGCATCTCTGGCAGTCTCATGGAGTGTTTGGGATTCGATCTGTTTTGTCGACTGGACGATCGTCGTCAGTCATACGAGGTCCGGTCTGCACTTGGTTCGCTCCGCCATGGCTCACAGCGGTTGTGAGGATCTTCAGGGAACCTGAAGTGCGCGGATGAACCCAGCGATTGGAAGAAATCTCGAGTAGGACACCCACCAGAAGAACATGATCTCATCCACCACCTGGAGCTCCATCAAACCATCCCCCAAACACCTGTCATGCTGGTCGGTTTTCCCATGTTTTCCCTATGAACTGAATGGTGAAGGATGCGTTCCTTCAACAGTAGTTTGTCCATGTCGGTCCTTCCATTCCCGCACTGGTGGACCCTTTCATCATGGACCCTGCAGGACCTGGCCGAAGCGCTTCGGTGCTTCAAAGCCGGCGACTTCCAAAATGCGATTCCACTGGCGCGCAAGGCCAAGGAGTGCTGCCATGAACAAACCCGGAGCTGCTGGGCTGAACATCATGCGGTTCGGCGTGTTTTGATATATTAGCGCGAGCAGCAAGTATACATGGGTGTAGCTGCTACCGGGTGGTAAAGGCTTTGGAAGAGGCATTTAGAGGTGGCAGAGTGCTCCAAAGGCTGGTGAATTCTACCACAACCGATTGACTAGTTGGAGATCCCGTGCGGACTGCGCTAAGTGCAATCAGCAATCCCGTTTCAATGGATGTGCATGACTGCTAATGGATTCCAACTCTCTTCATCTTCCGCGCGTGTTTCATCGTTTTGCCGTTCGCGCACCCAACACACACACCCGGCCCCGAAAACGAAAACGAGGCTCTTTGCAGGAGCATGGCGCTCCTTGGCTGCGATGACGGGGCTTTCTGGGAGACGGGATGTGGACGGGACCAGTGCAGTTTGGGCGGGACCGCGATGAAGACATGAGCAAAGTGCTAAAGGTCGGCGCTCACGTTTCTTCAAAAATGAGCAATTTGCATTTTCCTTGAAAAAAACGATACCAATCCCAAAAACGATACCTAGCCTTGTGACGGTACACATCTTGGAATCTATCTTTGCCTGTTGACAATGTTGACACTCGAGACAGTGTATGTCCAAGGTTTTTTTTGCATATGGTTTGCCATGCTAGCTGGACATTCCATTTCATTTTTGCTACTGTAAATTTCCCTTCTTTTTCCTCGATGAGAAACAATTATGGGTTCAGACCGATACCAAAAACGATACCAAACGATACCCACTTCATAGGTCTGTATCCCCTCAGACACCACCTGCCCACTCACGTGCCACTACTTCTACTTCTGCTACTACTACTACTACTACTACTACTACTACTACCACAAGTACTACTACTTCTACTTTTACTACTACTACTACTACTACCACTACTACGAAGACGACTACTACTACTGCTACTGCTACTGCTACTCCTACTACTACTACCACTACTACGACTACGACGACGACGACTACTACTACTGCTACTGCTACTGCTACTGCTACTACTACTCCGACTACTACTACTAGTAGTAGTAGTAGTAGTACTACTACTACTACTACTACTAGTACTAGTACACGACGGCTACTAGTCATCATTTGCAAGATCACCTTCCAGAGCAAATTACATTTAGACGATACCTCCCCCCAAAAAAATGCATATGGATTGAAAAAATGATACCAATCCCAAAAACGATACCATGCTCTAAACGTACCCCCAAACGACCCCTAGTTTTGCCGGTCGCTCACATGAAGCCGCGATGGGGCACATCGCTACGTATTTGAGCTCGATGCCAAACGACGATGCCGGCGAAAGGCTGGATGGTTGCGATGATTCCACCGGGTAAAGGGGCGAGCAAACAGCTTGTTGGGGATGTGACAGCACCACGATCCTTGTGTTGGTATGTGTTGGTTTACTGTCGATTTGTTCGACCCTCTGGAGAATAGCCAAAGATGCCCTGGCAGATTTTGGAGAACTTCGCGAAACATTTCCCACCATTTCCCATCAACATTGAGGTGGTACCGGTACATGAGATGGTGACGTTTGGTGCTGGATTCTCCCCTTCACACCTGAGGAGCTGCCGGAAGACCCCACAGATGCGGGGGACGCTTGGAGGGCGGTGTCTTGGCATGGTTCAAGGGGAGAAAGACATAAATGAGGAGGCTCCTATGCCATGAGAGGATATATGGACAGCTACCAACTTTTCAGTTGATCATCCTGGACTTCTTTGTGCCTGAGGAGGCCGTGGTTTGGGAGGCACTAGTCCTGCCGTGTTGCTGGAGAATGAGTTGGTGAAGTTTCGGTCGCTTTCTTTGCCGGATCCCAGTGGGTCAGGCGCAGACTGCACTTGGAAGTAGCACAATTCGTGTGACAGTTTCTGCGGCTGACGCAGCGAATGAGCGACCACTTGTATCAGCTGCCAGCGAAGGCCAGTTGGAACTGGTGCGGTTGTTGCTCGAGGCTGGAGCTGACAAGAATGTGGCGGCAACAGCTGCTACACCGAATGGGCACTTCGAAGTGCTGTGCCTTTTGCGCTGAGGGCGTGCGAGAATGGTAGCTGGTAACTGCTTAACCACTGATGTCCAAAGCTTGACATGTTCTGTTTGCATATAAGAGGTCAAGCTTTGATCAGTATGGGAAAGAAGCTCTTATATGCATGGATCCTTGACATCAGTTATGGAGGTCACCATGGAAAAGAAAGAAGGGCTCCACTAACCAAACGATCTGTGGCCAGCTTGGTGAACATGTCTAATGCCCGGATACTGCGGATTTTCCTCTCGACTAACACTTGGTATGTTCATGTATGTTCACGCACGGTTCAGTCAAATACTGAAACGGAGAAACATGCGCTTGTTTGAACCACGCTGGTTGTAGGCTCAATTACGCCCAGAATCGTTTGAAAAATATTGACTGCACACGAGCCCAACACTCCTGGCCTGTTGGGAGATATTTTTTTGGATTTGGGCAGATCACTCCTGGGAATTTCACTGAGTCATAGTGGAATTTGCCAAATAATTTCAGATTCAACTCGAGTCTTCGTGAAAATAATCCGCAACGTCGTGTGAAGGGGATTCACGACTCACTCCACGCTCCAAGCGGTCTTCTACGACTGCGACATAAACGCTGCACATTCGAAGATGTTCGGCCTTTTGTTCGACCGTCTTCGACCCAGCTTTGGGGTCAATGATTTGTTGAGCTGGAATCCTTTTGACATCACCGTCACCAGCTTGGATGTTGAGGAAAGTACTGTACATGAAAGTGCCGGGGGCTTGTATCCCCGGCTAGGAACCTTCATTGCAGCAGTGCAGTGCTTGCGATTTCGCAGACTGCGGACAATTTACATTCTTGGTCAGTGCCGTCAATCTTGTGAACTGTGTGAAATAGAAGACCCCTGCACGTGAAAGCTTAGGCGATGGATCGCTTAGCGGCAGCTCATGAGACAGCGGGAGATGTGGAGCGGGCGGAAGCCTTGTACTTGCGGATGTTGGCTTGGAGAGAAGGAGCTGATCAGTTTGAGGCCTGGCTGTTGTTGGGTTGGGATGGCAAACGCAACATGCAGATTGAAGGTTGTTTGTTTGTGCATATTATGCACACAATATATAATATTCAGTAACGAAATCCTTTTCTTTGGGGGGCTGTCATGCTGCACTTGATTTTTTCAATGATGGTCGGTCAAGCTTTGCAATTGTTGAAGAGGTCAAAGCTAAATTACGTTTTCCGGCAAGGTGCTAGCAATGAAATGAGAAACCAGCATATTATCGTATATTATCATTGACCATATCGATTCTTCGCAATAGTGCCCACCGTTCTTGGTGTTGTTAAGCCCTTGGGTGGCGAAGTCACCCAAAAGCAGCACACAAAAAGTACATTTGGGTGGTGGTTTCAGATACCGTATGTTTATGTTGCAACCTTGACTTTGAGAGGATTGAACCCACTCATTCCTATTTTTCGTTGGTGCGTTTTTCAACCAGTGAGTGGCCCAAACTTTTCAATTGTCGTGCCCTTCTCCGCAAAGCTTGGGACTCGAATGATCGCTGGAAGGCCGGGAACTTCGAGGTTGGCCACATGCTCTTCAAGAAGAGTTGCAGCTACAGGCTTGTTGGAACGACTGACTCTACGATTTTCATCGGATGTCATATTCGTTTACACTGCATTACACCCTGGAAGACTCAACGCTCAGACCCTGAAAACTGGTGAGGACAACCATTTTCCAGGGGGCCAGGACGTCAGGGTCCATGTTTCCAGCTTCTTCCGGTCGTGACCTTAAACAGGGGTTCCTGTTTCTAACCATTAAACCAGGCCGGGTCGAACCGTGACTGAACCAATCAGGGGATCAAGGGACCGGTCACGAACTGAAGAACCTGGTTCGTTTGTTCTTGGGCTTTTTGTTTGATCTGACCCTGGGCCGTCCCTTGGACCATTCTTTCAGTCAACCAAGTTCGATCTGCTTTTTTTGGGGGCTCTTGCCAAGAAGGACCAGGGCCACTACCAGGGCCTTCATGTTTTTTTTTGTGTGTTTTCATTGAATGGAGATTTAAAAAGGTGACCTATAGAAGCAACCGCCAAAACACTGATGGACATTCTTGGAGTGTCTCCACATGATTGGTGGGCTTGATCCGATCCGCCTCACAGGTCGGTGGAGGACGCCACATGGTTCTTGCACCACGTGAAGCCGGACGATGGGCACGTGGGACTGGAGGCCGTGGTGAAGTGTTCACGTGTGGCCCACTGGTGGGGTCATGCTGAAATCTCGGTCATATTCCCATTAAAGATCATTTTCGGGCGCACCACCTGGAATTGATTCACGTACCTGATGATGCACCTCGAAGTTGTTGGTACATGTTGCATGTGGTTTGTTGCTCTCGCTTCCCCAGCTCGAGGCTGTGGCTCTCTTGGCCTTGGGCGAGGAGGTTGCCGCCAAAGCCGCCATCGCTGCAGCCTGGTTGTTGGGGTGGCTCTGGGACCAGTGCAGATGTTCCAGGTTGACAGGGATCGGTCTGAACCTGTGGATGATTCGATGATGAAGCACTTGTGAACTTTGGATGAGCATAGGTTCCTCAATAGTTTCTAATTACATCTCATCGACACCACTGTCTTAGTAGCTGGGTCAGGTGATAGATATCAGGCCTGAAGCCGTGCAGCTGCGTGCGTGTTGGGGTCATGGAACTTACTCAGCCGGGCATCCTGGCGACATCTTTCCGGCACATGAAAAGTATCGCCCACGACATATATATATATATATATATATGTGTGTGTGTGTGTAATGGTTATAGAGTATATATAGTTTAAAAACCACATTGAAGTTGGTTCAAGGATGTGCCTTTTGTACCACCTGATCAGTTTGTTGGTCTGAACTCTGGATGCGATGCTTTATGGGTAGCTTTGCCAGCTTTCAGATCCAAGCTCTTTCCATGACATCGGGGAGAAAAGACGGTGCAAGCTGTGTCCCACATGGACTGACCTGGTGAAGGTATGTGAAGCTTTCACTGGTACTGAGAGCAGCTTCCAAGGTATGGACCTTAGCACTGAGAGCCTCTCAAAGAGAGCAGCTCACTGTAGCGGGTGCCCTGGAGCTGACAGCCAAGGCGTGCGGAGCTTGGGTAGAGGCTTGAGGAGATCTCCATCCTGGGCCTCATCCTGTGTTTTTTTTTGTGACTTTGCAGGTTGTGTTGAGCATCAGAACGCCATCGCCCTGAAGGATAGGCTGATGGGTTGCAGAAATGTTGGTGAATTGTTGGGACCCTATTCTTGCAACATCCTGATCCGTGTTTCTCTCTCCTCATCCTGAAAGCCTGCCACACCACCTGGATGGCCAGTTGATGGGTTCTGTGCTCTTGAAAATACATCATGTGCCGAAGAATGAAGGGTGACACAGAAGGCCTTGTTTTGGCCAGGATCCAAAAAGGCTCTCTACAAGATGGCAAGATGGCACCACATCCCAACTACATCTCCATCCGGCTCCTTGCAAACTTGGATCAACCGATCAACATCAATCAACCTTTTCCTCACTCTGGACTCCGTTCCCGACAGACCCGCTTCAAGCCTTTGGGACTATGGAGCATTCTGTCTCCAGAAGTCATCCCAGCATTCTACAGGTCTCCCACAAGGTGGCTTTTTGCAGACTTAAAAGTGGCAGGTGGTGACCTTTTTGGACATTTTGTGGCTGCCATGTTTGCTGATTCCGCCAGGCCATCGCCTTCCACGGGAACAATGCGGAGCTCCAGGCCGCAGGCTGCGGCCTGCTGCGGCTCCTGTGTGGCGGTCATCGGTCACTGGGCGCACCCGGACCACCGCAGGGACTGCGCGATTTTCGGCAGTCAGAACCGTTCCATGAAGAGGCTGCATGGACAGGACATGACAGGATATTACAGTATATAATTTTTGGCTTCCACCACTGCCTTCATGAACCATGCTATTCACCATCGCTTTTCCGGCGAGATCCTTCTCAGACTGCATGACTCCGTGTTGTTTGGACTGCTGCCCCTTCTCTCGCTCGCACAAACCGGTCGGAACCGCCCGCCCGCTCAGGTTGGCCGCCCGGAACCGCCGTCGCTTGGTCTTCCTGGGCGGGGTGGAGTCGGTGCTCTCAGCGATGCAGAACTTCCCCGAGGACTGGGAGGTGCGGTCGAGCAGATGGACCGGAGGGACCGGGGGCGGCGTGTTTGACGCTCCGAGCCACGCAGGGTGCGACCGGGTCGCGTGAAACGCAGGTTGCGCAGGAGAACTTCATCCCACAACAGGACATGCACTCTCACAAGCCGTCGAAGGTGGCTACTCATATGGTTTCTTGGTCCAGCTCCGCAATAAGAATTATATATATATATATATACATAGACTCACATGCCTTCACAAAACTCTTCCCCCCAAAAGGGATCCCACCTCCACCGCCTCCCACGACTCGAACGTGTGCAGTTCACACGTGCAGGTGGCTCGTGAAGCCTGTGGCGCTTTGCGGGCCATGGCGCATAAGAATCCGGCCCCTCGCATGAGAATTCGAGTGTCTCGCAGGTCTCAGGCAGGCGACAGGTCTGAACAGAGCGAAGAAGGTTGGTTTGATGGGGTTGTTGGAGCTGAAAATCTCAGGTGAGGGGTGACAAATGCCGTAGTCGCTGGTCTTTCATCGTTAGAAATAGGTGTGGGTGCTTTACGGTGCTCATGTTTGGCCACCAACTGGCATAGGATGACCATCCAAGTGAGACAGATTCAGAGGTTTTCATTTGGAAGACAACAGTTGTTTACTATTTGTTGTTTTTTAAACCTTTTGGATTCTGTTGGTTTGACCCCAACTGCTGGGTTCATGGGTGTGTTGTCCCAGTCCCGCACTTGTTCAAGCCAAGCATAAAACTCGCATGACTATTGTGACTATTCGTTGCATGGCCGGCCCTAGGCTGGTGCCCGGCGAATCATCGAGAGCGATGGCTTCAAGCATTGCATGGAGGTTGGGAACTGCAGAGGTTGCGCGTCAAGAATTTACCCATTCTGTCAAATACAGGAGCAGGACCTTGGATATTATATTATATCTATATCATATCTCATGTTTTGTTCCTTCCATTAGATCATCTCATCTCATGTCCCTACCTAAGTATGCGATCATGGCATTATGGACATTTGAATGTTCAATCCATTTTTTGCAGTGGCGACACCAACAGCATCCCCAGCCACTAGCGGATGCTCGGATGATGGCAATGGGCTTGAGCGGCCATAGCATGCCATAGCCACTTCACTGCCCACACAGACACACTCAGATGGCTCCTGGTCGCATGTACCCGGCCATACATCTTGGAGCTGAAGTTTTAACGGTATATTTGATGACCAGCACGGAGGAGTCTTTCCCTCCAGCACTTCAGCACTGCCAGGGACCCACTGTCATCCACTGCTTTTGTGTTCCGAACCACGATGGAAGTTCTAATTTGCACATCCCTGTGTCTCAGAGGGTCAGATCCACCAAGGAGGATATGTGGTAGGACCCTTGTCTATAGGGTCCTTCAACATCCTTCAAGCTTTGTTGGCACATCTCTTTTGAAACAGCCTTCGGATTGCATCGGAAGGCCTTAGAGCATCCGGATGATGCTGTCAGCAGCCCGGGGCCACCGAGATCACGTCGCGTCGAGGAGGACCGTATTGAGTCTTCAGTGCGATATGACCTGAGAGCGTCATCCAAGAGAACCTCTTCCTACACCTCTTGTCCCATAGTATCGGGACTTGGCACATCAGGTGGTCAAGGGACCACTGACGGCAATGAATGATACCATAATTGGAGTCATAATTTGATATTTGAGGAGTACCGGCCTGGGCTCCCTGCCCCAAAGAATCCAGCAGTACCGGGCTTGGCTCCTGACGACGTGCGGCCCAGGCCTAGCTTCCAAGGCCATCGGGGAGCTCCAATGTGCCGCGGAGGCCGTTGCGAAGGGGCACCGCTAGGTGCCTACTACAATGGGTAGAGCTTGGCTTACAGGGTTCCTGCGATGAAAAGTTGTCATGGAGATGATGTGAACATAATTTTGCATGTAAAGGTGCACCTGACCAGTCTCTATTGATCCTTTGTCCCTTTGTGTGGAGCATGTGCAGGTTCATTTGTGAAGAGGCATGATGTTGCGTCCTTTGCGCTAAGAGACTAAGAGGAACATATATCGAAACAAGGCAAAAGGCAGGATTCTTTTCCTGTGCTCGCCGACCCACATTGGAAGGGGAACGGAACGGCGCCCTCCGACAAAGGCCAGTTTGTTTCTCCAAATGCTTGCAACTGTTGAAACACGTGGAAGCTTGACACATCGACAAGTACACGAGCGCATCATCCAACATCCAACGAAACATCTGACTTAAACATGGTGTCTCACATTTTTGAGTTGGTTTCTTTTGTATCACTGTCTCACCATGTCTCATCCCTTCATTCCAGTTGGCAAGACGCCCGGCCAACCCCGGCCCGGCCAAGCCTCGTGGCCTCACGGCGAGTCGGACCGACGCCATGTCCACGGATCGTCTCGTGGAGCTTTTCCTGCAGCTGCTTGGCGGGGGTTTCAAAACGGTTCGAGGTAAAGAAACCGGGTGACACGGGGTGAGTCTACAGATGTCTACAGTAAGTCATCCTTCTCTTGGGTTGGAGAACCACCCGGAAAATCATTGTTCCTTGGTGGTGTTTGATCATTGGATCCAAAGCGTGTCATTATTATGCAGTTTCCAATGTTGGTTGCCTTTTGAGCAAGACTGCCGTTTTTCATTTACAGACAGTTTTGTAGGATTTAATTTAATGTGTTCTTTTGGATTCGGAATGGTTTGTTTGTGCGTTTAGCATCGAACAAGAACTATCAACACCATTTTGTCAGAAGTGTTTCTATGGTTTGAGTTTGCACATTCCAAAATGAATCGACTAGTCAAGTTTTGCACATTCCAAAACGAATCGACTATATATAGTTATATAAGTTACGTTAAGTTCCACAAGTGTGGTTGCGTGTGATTCATGCTTGATTGACACTCGCGTAGAAGGCCCGTTCCACCAGATTAAAAGAAGACTGTCGGAACGACGTCAGTTGTTTCACACACCTTGCGGTGTTTGTTTCCTGTGGTTTGTCAATGAATTTGTGTTTTGTTCCCCACCTGTCAGGTGAGGGTTGTTAGATTGTATGTCAGCTGGCGTCCTCCTCCTCGTCCTCCGCGTCGTCCTCAAACGCCAGCCCCAAACGCCAGACCACAAAGACACAACCACAACACACAACCGCAACACACAACCACAACACACAACCCGAGGACCCACAAACAAAATCGAGAACCACAATTTTCATGACCTTACTTCGAATACTGAGCTGCATTGGTTGCTTATAAGGTGTACACCCTGCGTTGGTATCAAATCTGTATGCGAAGTCTCGCCGTTTGCTCAAGAACCATCATTTCACTCATTTTCATGCATTTTCTTTGTAGTGGTGTACTCAGTTGGTTAAGATGCACCTCCATTATGGTGATGTAGATGTGGTTTTAACTTTATTCAACAGTCTCCATAGTCTACACTACTTCGGAGGTGAGGTCCACCAGATCTCCTTTTGGAGAATTCTTGGGCCTGCTTTGTTCTCCTCGATGGGCGACCCTCGATTGGTCATTGGCAGCCGCACACCCAAGCGAACCACGGGCATGGGACGGGCTTGAGACCTGCGGACGAGACTCGGGCATCGTCCAGGTCCGCCGGGGTGGAAGATGCAACCAAAGAGCTGGACGAGGAAAGTGTGGCGCGGGGCATCGCACAGATGGAGATGCTTATGACGAGTGAGGAGATGGGGCAAGGATGTGCGACAATGGGGTCGGTAGATCGAACTGAGAAGGTTCGGTGCCTTGGCGTGTTGCAATGAGTGCGGCTGTACATGTATTAGCCCGACCGTTGGTTTTTCTGCGCGTGGACACCGCAGCTTCCTGCAGGGAGGGCTGTTTTTTGTGCATTTTTCTATGCACTTGACGGAACATCAACTGCTTCATGCGCTGGGTTTTCTGCACATTTTGCTGCTTCTGGGGCCCCGTGATATGTTTGGTGTGGTTGTTTTCGACCAGTACACATCAGTACACATAATTTTTTTGTTGACCAGGATGAGCCTTATGTTTTCCGAGATAGTGGAATGTGGAAGTGGTTGAACTGAGGAGATGGCACAAACTCCTAGATTCGAGGCTTGTGTAGAATTGTGTAGACCTGATCTGGCATTACTCAAACTGGTTTCAATGACTGTAGTTGACAATGCGCTAGAGGAAAGCACGAAGCAGTTGTGATCTGATCGCGAAAGGTAGCTTGAGCTACCTGAGTTCTCCTTGCTTTAGCAAAAATGTATTACAATCAGGAGTTGGGATTGTGCATTGAATTTGGTCCTGTAAGAGTTGATTCTGTTCGTCGGGGGGGGGGGCCCCCCCCCCCCCGGATCAAATCCCCCCTGCGCCGGTTCACGCCGTCATGGGCTTCTACCAGGGTTACTTGTGATTGCCTGCTACCTTTCGTTCACCCCCTCCTCTCTCAAGTTTTACCATATTTTCTATTCGTCGCTCCTTCATCATGTCACAAACTCCACATCTGTTCCTGTTTCTCTTTGCCATGGCCACCGCAGGAGGCCGCGCAGGTTGTGGCGCCGGCCTCCACCTTTGTGCTGCTGGGCATGGCCCTAGAGGAGAAACCCAAACTGGGCCTTGGGGCATTGGCGAGCTACAAGAAGGTGCTTGCAGTCTTGAAACGTGTGTCACGGGCAACAACCTTGAGCGGGAGAGAAACCTCGGATGGGATTCAATTGTCGAACCTGTTTTAAATTGAGGCTGGCTGGGATGTAGGGATGTACTGTTTCTTTTTAGTAGTAATTCTCCGAGGAGAGTGATTGAGGAATAATGGTTTTCTTCATAATATATAATTTTACTTTGTTGCTCAAAATGGTTGATCTGTATCAACAGCCGAGTCAAACAAGAAAATGCTTGAGTGAAAGACCACTGAAATGGTGTGATGAACAAGCTCTACGTTCACCGCGCATCTTGAAATTCAGATAAGTACCCCCCCTGCTTGGTCGTAAATATGTCAGGAAGATCAATGCCAACAAAACAAACAAATCGTGATAGGTGAAGGTGGTGAGGTGGTGTTTCTTTTTGGTGTGCTGGGCGGGTTAAGCAGTGACATCCATTGCACCTTCTACGGAAATGGCTTGCATGCTTAGATATGTTTGAGGCGGGTCAAGTCCTTGCATTCCTGCCGGTTGGTCCCGTCGGAATTAATATGCCTGGTCCTGGTTGGGTTTGTTTGATGTTGTGTTCAATGGCTTTGAGGCTTTGAGGTCCTGGAGTGGCCAAGGGCAACCACAAGGGGATCTCAGAGGGTGGTCCCTAGGAAGGTCGTGCTTCACCGACCAGAACTGTCCGACACCAGTCCTTGGAGCTGCTGAAGAACAACAACGAATGGGAACGCTGTGTGCTGTTGCAGCAGCTGGGTGCCATGAGCTTCAGGTGCAGGGTGTCATAAGCAGTGCACGGGAAGGAAGGTTCAACATGTAAGTACCAAACATTCGACAGATGATGACGTCCACACTCGAAGGATGTAAAAGGTAGAGGACACTGCTCACATTTGGAGTCTCGTCAATGGATCGTTTAGAGACCATCCTCAAAGGGCACAACAAGCCCAGGAGGCTCCCTGACTCCTTTGTCCACAAGCCCAAAAGTCAACAATCCTGTCATCAGGGCTGGAAAGAGTGCTTTGCAGTTTAAAGTCCAATCTCTTGCCATTTTTTTGGTCAGCTTGGGTCCTAGCTTGATTTGGTTGGTGGCTTTTGAAGCGTTAGGGTGCCCAGGACAAGAACGGTCCCAGGCCCGCTCCCAACGGGATGTTTGCCCTGTCCCGAACGCCGGTCCTGCCAGGTTGGGTCGCATGTCGGAGGCCAAAAATTGGTTTCAGGCACGCCGACTTCAATGGCACTTTGTAGTGTGGAGTTAGTTGATGAACAAAACACGTTGCCTCAAAAGCATCCACTTCACATCATCAAGACTCATTGTCCATGTTAGAGGTCAGACATAGGGGTGTCCTTTGGAGGGTTTTGATGCAAAGCTTCTTGTCACCAGCTTCCAGAGGAACTTTCCCTGCACTAGGTGGAAAGGCATTCTACCAACATCTCCGCAGCCCCGGAATCTCCGCACAAAAAGCGACCCGGACCTCCTTCCACGTCCTCCGCAGGACTGTAGCCAGGCGATGCGCGCCGCGCCGGGGCACCCCCGAGATGCGCGGCTCTTCCAGAACTCCTTCTCCACCTCTCAGACGCGGCTCGAGTTCGCTGCGAAGGCGTGGCGCTCGCTTCAGAGCCTACTGCGGAAACGCGCGCGCGAAACGTGTGAAACACGTGAAGAGCGTGCGATGGGCGGCGGTAGGCGGCATGAAATTGGCTCCGGTGGCTGAAAGAGCCACAGGGTAGCGACAGGGTGACAGAAAAGAGACTCGATAGAGACTTGGGCATACCAGGTTCACCCTGAAGCAGCCTGGCTGCTTCAAAGAACATCGAAGAACCAACATGACACTCGGTAGCGACGGCTGGTGGCATCCCTTCAAGTAAATGGAAGTGGAGAATGGCCCCTTGGAAGACAATTTTCCACTACAAACAGGTGGTTTTCCACTTCCGTGTTAGTTCCAGGGAGAGCGTATATATTTGGCCAAATTGCATGTCATCCCTTCCTTCACTCGGCTGGCCTTAGCAACCGCCGAAGGCTAGCTGGCTCGGTTCGTGGGCTCTTAGTCCTAACCATTGGGTGTAAGCCAGTCAGCTAATTTGACGAAGTAGACGCCAACTGACTTGCTTTTGAACTCGTGCCTCAAGCCAAGCACACTTGACTCCTTTGACTTTGTATTAGGGAATCACCCAAACGGCCAAGGTGGGATAATCTTCTCCAGGAAGTTCTCATCAATCATGATCAATCAAGACCATCGAGTTACCGAAAAGGTTCTTTCGCTAAATATGCCCGTCGAATTCGATCCTCGCGGAGCTCCCCTCGCTCCTTGCTCTCAGATACTCTGTCTCCGCCCTCGCTCCGAAGGTGGAGAAGTTCATGGCACAGATCTGTCGCCACTTGGGTGACAACACAGGCGCTCATGCCCATGCTCTAGAGGCCCAGCTGCTCTTAAGCCAGGGTGCCGGAAGCGATGCGGTGCAACGCGTGGAAGCGGGCAAAGCTCCTGCGAGCCTTGATTGAGTTGGGTTGCTACTAGCGGCGGGAAAAATCCTGGGTCCAACCCAAGAAGACCTTTTGGTTTAAGTGTGACTCGTTTGACTTTCGGTTTGGCAGACAGTGAGCCAAGGTGCGTTTGGTCCGTCGGGGTGTTGTGACTTATGCCAGACTGATGAAGGCCTCTAATGATGTGGGTTCGAGATATGGCAGCAGGTCATTACGAAGAGGCTACAACAATTAGCTTTGGAGGTCATGCATTTCCCATGGGCCCCACTTATGCCTATGGCCATAGGGCACACCTCTAAGTAGGATTGACCACGAAGAACTATGAAGCATCCCGGGTTTTACGGCTCCTTCCAATGTGGGATATGTTTAAGGTGCTCCAAGGAAGATCCGAGCTTCACACCCACCGAAGTCGGGATTTCTAGGTCTCGCAGGACCGAAGACCTGGTCGCTTTCGCCGCTTCTTGCCAGGACTCAGGGACCCGATGCTTTGAAGCAACTTTGGGAAGAAGAGGCTGAAGAGATCCGGTTGAAACAATACAGTTTCTTGGATGAGGGCCCCACTGTGCTGGTCATGCTCGATCTCAATGAGCACCTTCCGATGGAAAACGCTTCGACCGCTGTCCCTCAGCCAGCATGGAGCTTGGAGCAGTCCTGCTAGTTGGCGCTTTGTTCTCAATCTCCAACCTCTTTTTTTGAGTGCTTCATGCATGTGCACACTAGTCACTAGTCGACAAACAGTGGACGAAGCTGATGTAGAAGACAATCTCCATGTCATTGGTTTTGGATGGAGGATTGTTCATAACTGCATGATACACATGGAAAACTCGTAAAACCAGCTACGTAAGTTCATGCGATTTTATGCTGAATGGGTCTCATGACTCGTGCTCATTGTTTCCACTTGTTCGGCATCTTTGATTTACGTCAAGGCTTTTGCACTGATGGTGGTCTCACAGTGTTTTAGTTGGGGTCTTTGTATGTCTTTGTCATGATGAGTTTACGAGGAGGTTTTGTGCATACTGACTTCACCAGTTCTTACCCTCCTTGTCCTTCTTGGAAGTTGACACCATGCAGGAGAGGAGGAGAGGAACTTGTTGAAGCGAAGCGGGTCACTTACACCCCATCAAAATCTCCTTTTAGAGCACGACTGTATGCGGATCGCAGCGATGTTTTGGTCAATCCTGGGGTGATTTCAGCAGTAAGGATGAGTAGAATATTAACAACCTCAAAGCGAGAGGAGTATGGCAGTTTGATATGTTTGAATGGTTCCTGGTGGCTCACACTGGAAACAATGCTCAGCAACTGAAAGGTATCCACAGACGCCAGTTCCCAACACAAGAGCAGGAACAATCCATAGTTCTGTTCTACACACATTTGCCACTTAGTATATGGGATACCGCCGCTTTTCGGGGATGTGATGACGCTTTCATCTAGCACCTTGTCCTACTTTGTTGGAGTCAAGGAGGAGCAGTCGCACCCCCCAAGTCTTCGTAGCATCCGCATCCAAAGGTCAAGTGACAAAATGATTCCCACCTGCCGGGCTTGTTGATCCCAATCGATTTGCCAACGACAACTGCCTGGGCTAAGTGGGAGCAGCTTTGTGGAGCCCAGGCTTCACCACCCTCCCACCGTCCCACCGGGTCCCCCCGCTCCCACCGCTGGTCACTCAGGTGACGTCCCTGCGGCAGTTCCGGGTGACGTGTCAGGAGAAGTCCGTGGAGATCCAGTTGCGCTTAAGAGCGCCAGACACTTGGTCTTCTCACGCCTTTGACGGGAGTGGAAGTGGAAGACCATATGGTAATCTATATCTATAAACTGTATTACTATAGATGGTTAATCAACTTTACACGTTGACTCACGTTCCAGTTGGAAGTAGATGGCACCCCCCTTTTTGGGACCAGGACAGTCGTCTTCCAAGGTCCCATGCCATCCACTTCCATGGAACATGGTCGTCAGAGTGTACGCCTTGGGAAACTCCAACACCCCGACAACACTTTATTGGGAAACACCACTGGTGTGGCCATGGCGGACAGACGGTTTTTCCTTTGCAATTCATTACTGGCTGGTGGCTTTGGGCTTTCCCTTTCCGGCAGATTTCGATGGAGGCTCATTCAGACTTTCAGCCATTTTCAGTGTGCTCTCCATTTTGTGCGAGATAGACCACAAACATCCACAGACAGGACAAACAGTGAAAGATAGTGATAGCCAGACTGACAATATGAAACTGTTTGGGATGACGGTGCTTAAACAGAGAATGCAATTCTACCTGCTCCGTTTCAGCTAGGAAAGCTCATTGACTCATGGATCATCTAGACGTGTTTCCCCTGTTTGAAGCCTGAAGCATGTTGTTGACCCTGTATGGTCTTTGAGTTCTTGAGGCGTCTTCACATGGTCCTGGGCACACCCAGATACATGCCGGTCCTAACTCCTGACTCAGTGGGTCCACGGCAGCTAGGCTGCTTTCAGTCCATCAACCAGGGCGGCTTTCAGCGCCAATCCGTGTGGTGTTGTTGGACACAGTGGACCATGGGCTATCTCCTTTTCAGTGGCAACAGAACCTCCCCTGCAAAAAAAATGCACGAACTTTCTGCGCAAGAACCTTCATGTTGGGGTTGCTGTTCGAGGCGAGTGGCGGCAAAGTGAAGCACTTTCTGCTGATGCTGGATCCCTTGAGCCATGAATCCTGTCTTTGTCCAGATATGTGTTTTCTTTGTATTGGTTTTCTATCTTAGAGATGACTTGTAAGTAAGCTAGATGATAAGGAGGGAAGTAAAAAGGAATTGACTGACATTACTTGATGCTTTCCTATTTATACATATGTGTTGTCAGGTGCACGATCCATGTCAATGCGAGGGTGTCGTTGGGCTCTTTCGTGGGGCTGCGCTTCGCTTACTTATTGGCAGAAGCATTATAACTCATTATATACGGGCTCTAATGAAAAACACATATGTATAGTATAAGCTTGTCAAGATGTGGAGGAATCAACATAGTTTGGTGTAAGCATGGCACTTTTCGTGTACGAGGTTTAATGATACTACACCCAGGAAGATGCACTCAGAAAATCGCCAGAGTCTGGAGGAGGCTAGTTGAAACATGCTTTTTGTCCAATTCCATGAGATCTTAGGGAAGGTAATCCATGCGACTGCGAATGGGTTCTTCGCAAGAGTTTAAAAAATGCTCCTAGTAGCGTCCTTGCTCCTAGCAGTAAGGCAAGGAGCCCCTAGTAGCGTCCTTGCTCCTAGTAGCGATGCCAGGAGCGCCTAGTAGCTTTTTTTGGTTCTTCCCAAGATCATTTTTGTATTTAAAGAGCGCATTTGAGACCTCCATGCCATGAGACTACGAACACCGAGGAGATTATTCCAGAGGACACGGTCCCGAGACTACGAGGAAAAGAGTCCAAACGTCGACTGGAGGCCGGCCATCTCAGTGAAAGCCATTGACCAACGGCCCAGGCTAGGAGCCATGCTGAATGAATGGAAACTGAAAGTGATGCGTAGATGTTTGATTGATAACCACCCCATTTGGGTTGTAAAACCTCCATATTGCGGGGTTTTGTTAAGCAAGAGTCTACATGAACTGACTCCACTGGGTGTGGGAAGTTTTTTTTCGTGTCGATCTTGAGCTAAATCAGAAACAACATACCTCTCAGATCTTTGAAGAGTCGGCTATTTGCAGAAAATTTTGGAAATCGAAGAGTCGAGGCAGCCGTTTGCCCCGTCCCTGCATGAGATTGAATGGCATGAGGGTTTGCCGAACAGACATGCTGCACCTCCTCGGATTTTGGTAGCTTTTGCCCTGTCCCAGCTGGGTGCGGCTTGGATGTTTCGAAAGTCAACTTTCCAAAACAAACTAAACAAACATGCTTATCCATCGAAGTAGTTCTTGGGATGTTTTGTCCATCCAAGTGATTATATAGCTTGGTGATGCTCATGCAGAGTGTAAATTGTGCATCGATCTCAATCTGGACAAGGTGTCCTGCTTGGTCAATTAGTGAAGAAGTGTCCGAAATCGATCAGGCCAATGATACATGCAAGCATTGACGTTTTGTCAAACCTATAGGAAAAGAGACACAAGAACATGGAAGAACTATACATCAAAGCTTGGCTTCTAGGACATGTGTAGAAAGAAACGGAAGTTCCCCTCCTCATTTTGACATACCTCAAGACTATGGCAACACTGGGCTTCCATTGCGGACCCCGTTCGCTGATGGTCCTGGAAATGAGAACCACCTCAGTCAGAGAAGCCAATGTTGGGGCCAACGCCATGAATCTTGGATCCGCCCCATGTGCTGGAGGTGAAGCTCTTTAAGCGAAACAAGGAGCAGAAGTGGTTTGGACACCTGGTTGTTGTTACTTTGTGAAGGTGCTTATGCTTTTTCATGTCCCCCTTTGTGCAGTGGACAGCCCATGGCATTCCTTCTCAAATTGATTGAAATTGTCAAAAGCATTAAAAGGCTTTTTTTGTCCATTCAGGATTCAGTCCAGCCGTGTGTTTGGGAAATCAAACGAAATCACATATATATATATAGTATATATATATATATCACATATATATATAGTATATATATAATATATATGTATACACACAATCTCGTGCAGTTTCTATGTTGGGTTGTTACTTTGGCACGATGCCATGAACATCCATTCAAGGGACTAAGCGGCGTCAATTTTCTAGGTCTATGGCTGGATACAGAAGAAGGACCCTGAACATGGACCGTTGGAAGACGGTGTTCACCTACAAACCAATGGTGTTCACAGCCGATGTGAGTTTGCAGATCGCTTGAGGCTACACTCCCTGTAAAATTTTGGAGACCGCGAAATCCTCTTAGAAACAGGTGGTGAACTCCATTTCCATGGAGATCAATGAGTGCTAAGCGTTTTGAAGACCATCCAGCCGACTGAGGAGATTTGGTGGCTGATGCCCCAGCACCAAAGGAACGGGCCAAGAAGGTTGCGGCCAAAGGACCGTGGTGTCACAGGTGTCATGGTAAGAGCCACGCATTTGGTTTGTAAGGCATGTTATGTCTACTCCACAATATATATATATATATGTATCATATTCCTGCTTCGTGACTTGTCAAGTTGACAGGTTTCCATGCAGCATGTTCATCCCATTTCGGACTGATGTTTGCCCGTTTCGATGTGAAAGCACATTTCTTCATGTGGAAGACGACGAACAATAAGTTGGATGGCATGCGGCATGACGGTTGACACATTCGGTCAAGGCACCTGACAATAGGCACCTGGTAGTGGTAGCCAGTGTTGTCCTTCTTCCATTTTCTTTGCCTGTGTTGCTCGTGCTTAGGGTGAATTTCCCGGGTTTTTGCCAACAGTTTCAGCCATCTTCAGCCGTCAGGAAGCCTGCTGAACCCCTTGACGCCTGAAGAGATCGCTCGACTACCTAAACCGGGCACGACTTGCAGTGACAACCGCCCCAGCCAGTGGCTAAACTGAGATGTTCATGAGTCACTAGTTCGTCGCACCTTCATCCTCAATTAAGTACCTAGTGAATACAGTATATGAAATGCGGCACCCATTCGGTCACCTTCCCAGCCTTTTCCTCCAAAACTATGTTCTGAACTGTCCAAACTATATCCAAACATATCCAAACTATAATATTTCATGATATTTCCTCAAATGTCCATCAATGAAGGTTAAGTGAGAATGTTCGAAGATCAAATCTGAGCAAGTTAGTTCACCCCGTATTTCTAGAAGCACATAGTCTTTAAAAAGGGGGCCCACGACGGGCCAGGACGTCCACTTTCTCCATGATTGTAGGGAGAAGTCCAATCAGTTCATTCACCCGAGACGTTTTTTCCTTCTCTCCCACTTGAAGCACAGGTCTTCTACCACGTTCTTCGCGCCACGCAGCGCATGGCGCGTACCGTCTGTTCTAACCAGGTTCCAGCCGAAGATGGAGGCGCCGGCACCGTTTTCGACGCTGCGAGTGATCCGATCGGCATGGTGCCAGCGGTCCTTCTTGAAACAAAGAACCGCTCTTATGTACTGCCTGTATGCGCCTACTTAATGAAGGGGTACTTCTCTTATGTATGGTCCTATATTATGTACTTCTCTTATGTACTTGATGAAGTAGGCGCCCAGTATGCGCCCTACTGCACTGCCTACTTCATAGAGGGCTAGGATAGCTGACTACCTACTGGATGCAGGATAGCGAAGACGCTTCTTCAAGGAAGCTCCCCTGCCGGCCTACAGGCGGCGGAGGGGAGTTTCCTTGAAGAAGCGCTGGCACTAATTCATGTGGTTCCTAGATGTTTGGGGAAATGCCAATCTCCCTTTTGGATGACCATGAGTGCGCTCTCTACACAGGTGGTGAACTCCATTTTCATGGATGACTTCGGGGAGCGTAGACCCCTAAAGTGAAGCGGAAAAAAAAACGCTTGCAGATTCGCAATCATTGGTCAAACTTTGGGGGAGCAGGGTCTTGATGTTGTGTGCGTGATGCCATTGTTTGAGTTTCATATTGGAACCTGAAGTGGGGCTGTCCCTTTTCCTTCACCATAATCGCATCTGCATGTTGAATCCTTTTCAGCAGAGGAGCAATCAGCCTCAGTCGTGTGGATCGAAGAAGTGCTCCAAGAACGTCTGGAGGGAGAGCTTCTCATCAGCGTGAGGTTGAAAGAATCGCTCTCCGATGTGCAGCTTTGCTCCAAGATGTGGGCAGGGGATGTGTTTCTGATTGGCGTAGAGTACCAAGGGGTTAGCCTGAATGAACCACCCCCTCGTGCGTCCTAGATTGATCATCTCAACCGGCCATCCGCTGCAGCCATCAGGTCCACTCCTCCCACAAACGAAAGAAAACACTGACTGAAGACTTGCCATTGCCGCATGGTCCAACAGCTCAATGGTCAAACAACCTTTACCCATCAATGGTCACATAGAACCCGACATGAATCGACCGGATCCGCATTTGGGGAGCTGTCCCCCGGAATTTCTGCGGCTTTTGCTGATGCCCCTATGGATAAATCCGCTTTTGGGAATATTATATTATGTTTTGTATATGTTTCTCGGTTCCTTGAGCAAATCCAATATTCTTATTTGATGTTGGGGTCTTGGACATGGTTGGAGGACTTGGGGATCAGAAAAGGAGCTTCATATAGGGCTTTCAGGGATCTGCAGATGATCTGCAGCGTAGTTGGCACAGGTTTTACTGCATGACATGACACATGTGTCGAAACGTCACGGCGTCGCGACCACCGGGGGAAGAAGCATCAACGACCACCCAACCGTACGCACTGGAACCGCTACCCCGACTACCAACACAACGTGCAGAAGAAGGCTCTCACACAAGAAGCATAAAAAGACTACACTGAGAAATCCTCCAGAGAATTTAGCAACAAGTGCATGGCTACTAGTGGCTAAAAGCTACTGGTAGCAGGGGCATCGCTACTAATAACAAGGGTTGCTGGTAAGTTTCGACAACTGCCACCTTTGGCTTTGCTGCCGAGGGTGATTCGGCACGAACAACGGGTGGGGTGGGGTGGACAGCTGCTCCGCTCGTGTGGGTCCTCTAAAGCTCTATAGCTCCGCTTGGCTGGGGGTAGTGAAACCTTCATGGTCGTTCACTTATCAACTGCTGCCTGGACCCCTTGAGATCCCTCGCGTGAACTGCTGGAAGTGATGCGGCAGCTTTGGGGCAATGAGAGTGGCAATGAGTGGATGCAGATCAAGTCTGGTAAATTTTGCTAGCTAATGCCTGTGAGGTGTTTTTGGCCCAATGCCTTGCATGCAAAACCGTCGAATCGCATGAGCCAGCTGAGGACTATGCAGGATTTAGAGCTGGCGATGGACACACATCGTTTGACCTTGACCTGCGCCCGGTGTCCAGGTGAAATTTTCACCATGACCTTGCCGGAGGCGGGAGTGTCTCCATGCCAGGATGAACAGGGAACATAGATAAACATAGCACATGCCTTCTTCAAGCAGTGCGCAGTGCAAGTGCGGTGCTCTGTGCGCATGTGACTGGTGCGGTCAGCATGACGCTGGGAGAATCAAGACGGTGAGCAAAGTGAACACATATCATCTGAAACTCTTGGCTCAACTCCCCAAGATTATTTTTGTTGCCAATCTTTTAACCACCACTTGGGATTTGAGCAAAGGGTCTGAGTCGCATGTAGCTCTTGATGGTATTCCACAGCAAGATGTGTTCAGACTGCCCCTGCTCCTATGGCTGACATCATCTATACATGACAAACAAAAACCATCAAAAGCCGGCCAGCAGCATCATGCTAAGACAAATGGGACTCCAACTTTAATAGTTACTTTGGGGCTTTGGGGTGCGTGATGCTTGATGGTTTGCTCTCCAACAGGGAAAGTGGAAGCACGAAATGATGCGCTGTAGCTGGGTGTGGTTCAGGTTCCCGCTGAATAGATTGACACCCTGTCTCCGCTGGACGCATGCGAGGAGAGCTTTGGAGATGCGGCGGCACGCTGGCGGAAGAAAGTGAAAACGCTTGAGCTTCGTTTTCCAGCAAAAGCAGGTCCGAAGAAAGAGGCCTAAGCCCCAAATTGGAGTCTAAACATGTGATTTCACATGTCTATAGAGTCTAAACTATACTTAGAACCCCCCGTGGTACTTTCGAAGCACTAGGTATACATACTATAATATAAGTGAACACCCAGACCTGGCTGACAACCTGATGGGGATTTGCAGATTTTGGGCTCTTCGGACCCAGCTGGGATGGCCTGTCTGCGAGGGGAAACGCCCCTCAGACATGTCTGCTTTCTCTTGCGTTTTCCGACTCGAGGAAGACCGGAAAGCTGTTCAGGTCATGGGACCTGCCTGGTGAATCTCAGTGAAAGGGAAGAAAACCATTGAACACCCAACGGAAGAGTCGTTTTTTTTAGGGGTGGAAAACCCACGGGCATTGTGGGGCGTAGTATACGGTCCTCTGGCTGCACCCAGCGTGATGTATCAGTTGGGTGTTGTTACGGCGACAGTCGGGCTCTTCGGGTGGTGCTTGTTCCATTGGCAGGTGGGATACGTTGCCAGTGCAAAGAAGGGGGTCATTTTAGAGTCTTTTAGAGCAGACAATCCCATCAAAATGATGTCGGACCCTCTATGGTTTGGCTCCCTTTCAAGGAGATGGTGGAGTCTTTTTCACGCGACCTGCCCAGTGGATCTCAGGGGAAGAAGACATGAACACCCAATGAAGATTCGTTTTTTGGGGACACCCACGGGCCTTTGGGGCGCCCCGTACTGCGGCTGCGGTCCTCTGGCTGCACTCAGCGTGATCAGTTGGGTGTGGCGACGGCCAGGCTCGTGATCAGGTCGGACACGGTCCTGCTGTTTCACGCGACGTATGGCGCCAGGAGCGCACGAAACATGACATGATCAGGTGGAGAGTCCGGTCCCATCTGAGGGGAGGTGACTCCCGCGAAAACAAAGACTCGAATTCGAATTCGACGTAAAAGGCCTGCTTGCTACGTCGGGGGGGTCCGAAATCCTGGAAGCACTATGGATGTTTGGTAGTGATGGTGGTGCAGTAAACCTGTTCACACTGGAGCTGTTCCTTAAAAAGCCATGGGCGTTTGACACTGGCTTGGGCTGGCTGTCCGACAAACTCTGTTTTGAGCCGTGCAGGTGGACTTCGCTAGCACGGACGCTCACGCAGAGAACCTGCAGGTGGACGCGCGAACGGCAAGGGAGTTGCAATGTGTAACCCCACACTGTACGCTCTCCAACATTGAGCCTGCATGCAGGTATTCTACAATGCTTTGTGGAGTTGAAGCCGGCTAGGCTAATAATGAGTACACGTAGCCTGCAAACAGAGATATGTCACTTAGGGCAAGGCCCTGTTTCTCTTCAGCGATTGAAAGGTTGATGTTTCACCGTGCTATTTCTTGCGCATTTTGGCACGCCAATAGGATCACGCTAATAGGGTATGTTCTCCCCTGTTGACATGGCCTGATCGAACACAAAGGATCCTGCAAGGTGCCTGCACTTGTGTCTCTCAGCAAGTGCATTTCTTGTGCATTGCAAGCATGTCGACCATGCCCACACTGACGACGCATTGAAGAATACGAGGTGCCAACATTGTGCATTGGCCGGCGCAAAAAAGAACAGATGACGCAACTCACAACACCGGCCCGAGCAGTGGTTGACTTCAGTTGGAGCTCGTAGAGTTGCCTTCATTGGGCCTTGCGGACTGGGATCAGAAAGGGCATGGTGGCCCGGTGCATGTGTAAAGCTCAGTATGTAATGGTATGGTATGGTAATTATGTATGTCAACCCACTTGGCATTCACATGTGCTTTTTCAACACGGACACTTGGAAGCTGAACTTGGCAGTTTGGCAGAGTCTCAGATCCCAAAGGCAATGCTCAGACCACTCACACCATTCTGAGGGTGCATAGATCTCCTGACTCTGATCCATCTACATGCTCTCCGAGTCATCGACATGGAAGTGGAAACCACGCACGCGTAAAGAAAAATGGTTAATCCAAGGGACAATTTTTGGGGGTATATTTTAGTGGGATAATAATAATAATAATAATATAATCCCTACCCCTTTGCGGCTATAAACAGGGGGGGACGTCTAGGAAATGTAAGTTACATTTTTTTGGGGGAGGCCCCCCCCAAACTCAATGTAAGTTACATTTCTTGAGGTCCCCAAGCACTCAAAATACCTAAATGTAACTTACCCCCCCTAGGTATGTTCCTACGTTTTGTCCTTAGTGCTCCCCAGGAACTTCCTCGAGAGTGGTTAAGGTTGCTGTGGGGTGTTCCAAATCACTCACTGGATAGTGTGTTCAAAAATCACCCATATGAGCCAATCAGTGAGGGACCAATCACCCATATATGGGCTTACATTTTTGGTCCTCGTTACAGTCCTTACAAAGCAGAAAATATAACTTCCCCAGGCTGGAGGTTCACCAAACACTGGCAAAAAACAATGGTTTTGGAACCTAGGGCACCCACAGCTTACATTTTCATACCCACCAAAACCACCCAAACCCTACCAAAACAGGTTTCTGGCACCCCACAGCAACCTCAACCACCCTCCCCTAGAAAGCACCAGCAAAGGCCCCTTGAAAAGGCATAACATGTAACTTACCCAAGCTGGAGGTTCTCCAATCCCTAGCAGAACCCATGTTTCTGGAACCCTCAGCACCCACTGCTTACATTTTTGGTCCTCTTTACAGTCCGTACAACGCAGAAAATGTAACTTCCCCAGGCTGGAGGTTCACCACACACTGGCCAAACCATATTTTTGGAACCTAGGGCACCCACAGCTTACATTTTCACAACCACCAAAAACACCAAAACCCTACCAAAACCGGGTTCTGGCACCCCACAGCAACCTCAACCACCCTCCTCTAGAAAGC